AGGAACTTGTTTGAAAATCAAAAGTGGAAGAAAGACTTACATTACTAGGAGCCATGTTTCAAGAATGATTACAAATAATGATATCATGTAGGTTGTTAACTTAGTCCCTACTATTAGTTCCATTAGTACATTAGAGTCATAGTTTTAATTCTGCTCACAGGTGTGTTTTTTTTCTTCAATGAGAAAATAAATTAAAAAAAAAAAAAAACAAATCCAGGAAAGAAGAAAATCCAAAATAAGACTGAGATAATTGAGAATTAGTCTGAAGCATCTCACTAGGGTTGTTTTTTTTTTTTTAAGTAATTGCTGAGGACATATGCCACTCCATGCTTCTGTTATTCACAAGCCTTGGATAGAAAATCTGTGAAAAACTAGCTCTGATCAGCAGCATAGTTTTGGTGCAGACAACCACATGATCTTCATTTATCATTTGACGGTTTATTTTGAAAAGTAGTGTCAGTGTGTTCAAACTAGACTCTTTTCTGAGGAAATGAAAATGTAAGATCTAATTTAGTGTACACTGAACACACTCCCATCTGTAATAAAGGTAAAGTTAATTTTCTTCTCAGTAGCTGGTATGGTGCTATGTTTTGTATTTGTACTGATAACACAGGTATGCTTTATTTACTGCTAAGCAGTTATAGCACAGAGTCAAGACCTTTTCTAGAAGCTCCTCACCCCATGCCACCAACAAGGAAGTCGGAGGTGCACAAGGAGATGGGAGAGGACACAGCCAGGACAGCTGACCCCAACTGTCCGAAGAAATATCCCATATCATATGGTGCCATGGTCAGCACATGAAGCTGGGGGAAGAAAGAAGAAGGGGAGTATGTTCAGAGTGATAGCATTTGTCTTCTCAAGTCACCATTACACGTGATGGAACCCTGCTTTCCTGGGGATCACTGAACACCTGTCTGTCCATGGGAAGTGAATGAATTACTTGTTTCACTGTGCCTGTGCACACAGCTTTTGCTTTACCTGTTAAGCTGTCTTTGTCTCAGTCTATGAGTTTTCTCACTTTTACCCTTCGAATTCCCTTCCTCATCCCAGCTGGGGAATGAGCAAGTGTCTGTATGACACTTATTTGCCAGCCACAAAACCTAAAGACCTGGGGTTGATCCTTTGTTTCCTTACAGTGCTCTTCTATATTTTTGTCAGTCATTTGCTAACTTGCTTTTCTGTTTCACAGTTAGACCTGATATATCAAGAGTTGTGTGGAAGACTTACACTGTACATTTTTATTGTTTTCAAAATGTAGCAGATCCTCCCCACAGTCATGTAGCATTTACCATTCCTGACATCTGTTCCTTACTGTTCAGCCCAGAAAAGCCACAGTCTTGGATTCATGCTGTTGTCTTTAAAAACCTGGAATATGTTGTCTAGCACTAGTATTTGGATAAGTGCTACTAAATCTGTCTTGCTAATGATTTGTATTGTAACAGTCTTGACTAAATAAATTCAGTGGAAATGAGTTTGCAAACCATGTACCCAGGCCTTGCAAAAGAAGACTGTATCTTCAAAAGAATTTTTTTTTCACTGTTCTGTTCCTTTTTTTCCTATGATAGATGCTTTTATCTACATAAAAGAGGAAGCAGATGATATTTTTTCCTATCAGTCTCTGCATATGGTACTAGATAAATATAAATATTACACCAACAGAAAATTTCCATTCCCATATTTTCTAATTTCATTTTCCAATTATTCTATACACAGTCGCAGTCAGGCAATTATATATTTTTTTCTCTATTGGGCTACTAATTACAATGTCTTTTGTTTATCATCCAATTTAAACACTTAAGGAAAGTGGGGAAAATTTCTACAAAACTTTAATGCTTGATGTATATATACATTGTTTGAACACATGTATGTAAAACAGGTTGAATGACCAGGTCCAGAGGATGGTACAGTACTCAGAAGAAGGGTTCAAAAAGCTTGGAGACAGGTTCTTTTCACTGATGCTCAGTTAGAGGACCAAAGGCAATGGGCATAAACTGAAGCACAACAGGGTTCTATATGAGCATTAGGAAACACTTTTTTACTGTGAGGTTGACTGAGTACTGGTATTAGTGTCCCAGGGAGGCGGTGGAGTCTCCAGCCTTGGAGATATTCGGAAGTCAATGGGCATGGTCGTGG